CTGGATGGGCTTTAAGGYCCCTYCCCACCCAAACCATTCCAGGATCCTCCAGCCCAGCTCAGCACTGGACTCTGCCTCCCCTTGGGACACACTCCAGGACCTTCCCCTGSTGCTCTCCAGGGCTCTCCAGCTCCCTGGGGCTGCAAACGTGTGGAGTTCGGAGAGGGCAGGGAGCGCAAAAGATTGGAATTTCCGGGTGGTTCTCCTCATGAAATGGCTCCAAAATCTACTGTCCATTCACCTCCTCCTGCTGGGACRGGGCTGCTCTTCCCTGGGGACAGCACGCCCGGGATATCATGTCCAGGGAACAAAGGTGCCAGGTGCTCCTGCTCCCTGCATTCCCACAGGGATCCTCCCAGTGATGGGACAGAACCGTGACACAGCCAGGCTCCACCTCTCCTCACGATTCCAGACCATGGAATCCCAGAATCCCAGAACGATTTTCTTGGAGGAGCCCTTAAAGCCCATCTCATCCCTGCCCTGGGACACCTTCCGCTATCCCGGGCTCACCCTGGCCCTGGGGTGTGGGGGTGAAGGGAGGGTTCACCCTTTAAGGATGCTGTTGGCAAAGTGGGGTCTGCATCCCGGCGGATTTATCCTGCAGGGATTTACCCTGGAGAGGGGAAAGGAGGGACAGCAAATGCTTGGGGTGCAGAGGCCGTGCTTGGATTCCACAGAATTTAAATTCAATCTGGTTTGGTCCATTTGCAGGAACACCTTTCCCTCAGATCCTCCTGGAGGAAGGTGGGGATAATTCCCAGCCATCCATGCCCTGGAATGAAGGAAAACCTTTTGGACAGCCAGATCCTTTGAAGGAAACCCTCTGGACATCCCCAAGCCCAGCCTGCTTAGGCTCAGCACCAAGAGTCASGGCAGGCAGAATGAGATTTATTTGGGAAATTCTCCAGCAGCACCCGGAATCCAACACATCCAACAGCTCCCAAAACTTCCAAGGGACACAAACGCTCCTCTGCCTTCCCTCTCCTGCTCCCCACGGCCCCGAGGTCTCTCTGTGGTCAGAGCACAGAGGCTGCAGCTGCTAAACTGAGCCTAAACCCGTGTTTAGTCAAACCCTCTCTTAAAAAAAGCATCCAGGCTGCACTTTTTGCTCCAGGAACTGGAAAATCCCCCGTCTCTCCACTGGTTTTTCCCAGTGGGGGATGCTCATTTTTAAAGGGAGTTTTGGGGATCTGTTTTTAAAATAAATAAGATTTTTTTGCCGGGTTGGAAGGAGCCTAGAACAGCCTGGGATGGTGGGAGGTGTCCCTGTTCATGGCAGGGGTGGGATGATCTTTAGGGTCCTTTCCAAACCATTCCAGAATTATTTGGCAGCAGAAGGGATTGATTCCAGCTCCCAGTTCCTTCTCCCCTCTCTGTGCTCCTCTATCATCAAGCCCTTCCCWCTCTGACATTCCATCACATCCCTTGGATTTTTGTGGTGTGCTGACGTGGTCTCCAATGGCAGGATGGGATTTTGGGATTGGGATTTTTGTGTCCCCCTCTAATCTCTCCAACCTCCTGGACCCCACAGGGTGCTCCTTGGCCTCAATCCCATGGGATTGAGCTGCTCCCCCCAGGATGGAGAGGTCTCAGCTTTGGGACTTCCCTGCTCCCAAAGGATCCCCTTGGAGAGGAGCTGGAGAGGATTTAAAGTGTTTCCAGATGTTCTCCTGGAGCAGCAGAAGTGCCTGGCAGAGACWGATGGGGTCTGGCTTTTCCTTAGGCTCAGTTTTTGGGAGGAGCACCCTGCAATTTGTGGACAGATGCCYGCCTGGGAGCGCAGAGCCAGCCCGGGCTCCTGCTCTGCCTCCTTCCCACCAGGGGTTTTAATTTTGGATTGGAGGGTTTTGCAGGAATCTTGAGATGAAAGGCTGGATTTTCAGAGGGAAATCACCCCTGGGAAACCTGGAGTTCCTCACGGGAATGTTCCTTGGGGAGCGTGGAGCTCTGCGGTGACAGCAGGGCCTTCCCGAGGGATGCTCTACTCGTGCCTTCCACATGGGATCTGCCTGGACACCCCGTGGGGCCCTAAAACCCACCCTAAACCCATCCCTTGGGACCCTAAAACCCCATCCTAAACCCATTCCTTGGGGCTCTCAACCCTATCCTAAACCCATCCCTTAGGGCATTCAAACCCCATCCTAAATCCATCCCTTAGGGCATTTAAACCCCATCCTAAATCCATCCCTTAGGGCATTCAAACCCCATCCTAAATCCATGCCTTAGGGCATTTAAACCCCATCCTAAATCCATCCATTAGGGCATTCAAACCCCATCCTAAATCCATCCCTTAGGGCATTCAAACCCCATCCTAAATCCATCCCTTAGGGCATTCCAACCAATCCTAAACCCATGCCTTAGGGCCCTCCAACCCCATCCTAAACCCATCCCAAAGCCCGTTCCAGGTGCAGCCCCAGCCCTGGATCAGAGCAGCCGCTGTGTGCTCAGGGCGGGGCCGATTGAAACAATCCCAGGGATCCGTCCTGGCCCCGGTTTTCCCAGAGCGTGGGATAATCCCGGCCCCAGGGGTGCTGTGATCCCCCTGGCTATACCCACACATGGCCCATGTGCATCCCAGGGCAGGGCTGGAGCATCCCGGACCCCTCCCGAGCCCTGGAGATGCCGAGGGTGGGGAGGATCTCGGTGTGGAGCTCTGGGACAAGGGCTGGGTGCTGCCAGCTGGAGCTCGGCTCAACCCTGGGATGGTGGGAGCTGYCCCTGTTCATGGCASGGGTGSGGTGGGATCAGCTTTAGGGTCCTTTCCAAACCATCCCAGGATTATTTGAGAGTGGAAGGGATTAATTCCACCTCCCAGATCCTTCTCTCTGAGCTCCTTTATCATCAAGTCCCTCCTATTTCAACATTCCATCAAATCCCTTGGATTTTTGTGGTCTGCTGACCTGGTGTCCCATGGCAGGGTGGGATTTTGGGACTAGGAATAGGATTTTTGTGGTGTGCTGACCTGGTGTCCCATGATAGGATGGGATTTTGGGACTGGGAATGGGATTTTTGTGGTGTGGCTCTCATGGCAGGATGGGATTCTGGGACTGGGAGTGGGATTTCTGCAAGGGCAGAAATCTCAGGAGCAGGGTCCTGTCCCCTTCCTGGGAAGGAAAATCCAGCTCCACATCCCAAATCCAGCAGGGAAGGAGCGGCACAAGGCTGGATTTTACCCTGGGGGTGGAAGATGCTCAGATGGAACACAAGGATAAACACAAGGATAGAACAAACAAAGCAGGTCCAGGTGCTTCAGACAAGCCCAAGGCACAGCCCAGGAGCTCAAGGTCTGGGAATCACAGAAACGATTCCCAGGAAATCCTCAGGAAATTCCCAGAAAAACCCAGCAACAGCAGGGAATCACCTTCTCCACCGTCTCTCTAAAGCCCTGAGACAGCCCCCAGCTCACTCCAGCCTGGCTCTTCCCAGCTCACCAGGATTGTTCWGAGGACGAGACTCCACTGAGATGCTTTTCCAGGCCACCCTTTCCCAGYAAATCTGATCCATTTGATCCAAGGTTTCCTCGGATCAAACAAGCCAGGCTCTCCTCCCAGCCTGGGCACCAGCACAAAGACAATAAATATCCCATAATTAAATGTATGCAAGGAAAAGAAGCAACCCCAAATTTTGGTCGTATTTTTGTGGCGATGGATCTCAACAAAAGGATTTTTCCATAAAGTCTCATTTTCCAGGAAAAYCATCAGGCTCTGAAATGCTTCAGGGATGACCCCTGCTCAGTTTCCTGTGGGGGATTGGGATCAACAGCCCCAACCCCAGAAGCTGCCACATCAAAATCCCTGGAATGGTGACTGCCATTCTGGTTTCTCCCTCAGGAAATAATTCCCTCTCCCTGGATATCAATTTTTCAGTCCACTTCCAGTGGGGAAAAACATCAAAACAGCCCCATTTCTCCCAAGGCAGCAATTTCTTTTCCCAATCCTACTTAGCAATGCTCAGGAAAATCTT